GGCATAACTGGCAGACCCCTCACAGTGTTCAAGAGAGAACTATCAACATCAGAGGCCCGAGACTGTTCAACACGCTTCCTCTACACATAAGGGGCATAACTGGCCGACCCCTCAGTGTTCAAGAGAGAACTATCAACATCAGAGGCCCGAGACTGTTCAACACGCTTCCACTACACATAAGGGACATAACTGGCCGACCCCTCACAGTGTTCAAGAGAGAACTATCAACATCAGAGGCCCGAGACTGTTCAACACGCTTCCACTACACATAAGGGGCATAACTGGCCGACCCCTCACAGTGTTCAAGAGAGAACTATCAACATCAGAGGCCCGAGACTGTTCAACACGCTTCCACTACACATAAGGGGCATAACTGGCAGACCCCTCACAGTGTTCAAGAGAGAACTATCAACATCAGAGGCCTGAGACTGTTCAACACGCTTCCACTACACATAAGGGGCATAACTGGCAGACCCCTCACAGTGTTCAAGAGAGAACTATCAACATCAGAGGCCCGAGACTGTTCAACACGCTTCCACTACACATAAGGGGCATAACTGGCCGACCCCTCACAGTGTTCAAGAGAGAACTATCAACATCAGAGGCCCGAGACTGTTCAACACGCTTCCACTACACATAAGGGACATAACTGGCAGACCCCTCACAGTGTTCAAGAGAGAACTGGATAAACACCTCCAAAGGATACCTGATCAACCAGGCTGTGACTCATACGTCAGGTTGCGAGCACTCGCATCCAACAGCCTGGTTGACCAGTCCAGCAACAAGGAGGCCTGGTCGAGGACCGGGCCGCAGGGACGCTAAGTCCTGAAATCATGTCAAAGTAACCTTTAGGTAAGTTACCAGGCCTGAGGAGCGCTCTCTCCAACACGAGCCCTCTACACCATCCTGCCTCCTGGCCGAGCCGGATGTTGTGTTGTCCAGCCTCGTTATCACCATGCAGCAGCTGGCTCCAGCCCTGCTGCCACTTTCTCTTCCACATGAACCCTTCCTCTCACCGACTCTTCTTTTGTACCCACTTCTCCCTCGCCCCATGGGTATCTCCTCTATACCCACTTCTCCCTCGCCCCATGGGTATCTTCTCTATACCCACTTCTCCCTCGCCCCATGGGTATCTTCTCTATACCCACTTCTCCCTCGCCCCATGGGTATCTTCTCTATACCCACTTCTCCCTCATCCCATGGGTATCTTCTCTATACCCACTTCTCCCTCGCCCCATGGGTATCTTCTCTATACCCACTTCTCCCTCGCCCCATGGGTATCTCCTCTATACCCACTTCTCCCTCGCCCCATGGGTATCTTCTCTATACCCACTTCTCCCTCGCCCCATGGGTATCTCCTCTATACCCACTTCTCCCTCGCCCCATGGGTATCTTCTCTATTTAATCTCAGTCTTATAAGAAGCCTTCTATCGAGGTCCCCACAAGAAGGTCCAATCACTCACTCTTCCCTCGATGCAACCTCGTAATAGTGGCCTAACTCCCGGGTACCTATTTACTGCTAGGTAAACAGAGGCATTAGGATAAAGGAAATGTTCCTGATCATTCCTTCCCCGCTCGGAGATCGAATCCAGGATCTTCGATTGCCAGTCGAGAGCGAAGCCAACTGTGCTACGTGACCCTCTACTCTCCTGTATGAAGACAGACTAAGAGCTGGGACATGAAGATAAACTAAGAGCTGGGACATGAAGATAAACTAAGAGCTGGGACATGAAGACAGTCTAAGAGCTGGGACATGAAGACAGACTAAGAGCTGGGACATGTAGACAGACTAAGAGCTGGGACATGTAGACACACTAAGAGCTGGGACATGAAGACAGACTAAGAGCTGGGACATGTAGACAGTCTAAGAGCTGGGACATGAAGACAGTCTAAGAGCCGGGACATGTAGACAGACTAAGAGCTGGGACATGAAGACAGCCTAAGAGCTGGGACATGTAGACACACTAAGAGCTGGGACATGAAGACAGACTAAGAGCTGGGACATGTAGACAGTCTAAGAGCTGGGACATGAAGACAGTCTAAGAGCTGGGACATGAAGACAGACTAAGAGCTGGGACATGTAGACAGTCTAAGAGCTGGGACATGAAGACAGTCTAAGAGCCGGGACATGTAGACAGACTAAGAGCTGGGACATGAAGACAGACTAAGAGCTGGGACATGTAGACACACTAAGAGCTGGGACATGAAGACAGACTAAGAGCTGGGACATGTAGACAGTCTAAGAGCTGGGACATGAAGACAGTCTAAGAGCCGGGACATGTAGACAGACTAAGAGCTGGGACATGTAGACACACTAAGAGCTGGGACATGAAGACAGACTAAGAGCTGGGACATGTAGACAGTCTAAGAGCTGGGACATGAAGACAGTCTAAGAGCTGGGACATGAAGACAGACTAAGAGCTGGGACATGAAGACAGACTAAGAGCTGGGACATGAAGACAGACTAAGAGCTGGGACATGAAGACAGACTAAGAGCTGGGACATGAAGACAGACTAAGAGCTGGGACATGAAGATAAACTAAGAGCTGGGACATGAAGACAGTCTAAGAGCTGGGACATGAAGACAGACTAAGAGCTGGGACATGTAGACAGACTAAGAGCTGGGACATGAAGACAGTCTAAGAGCTGGGACATGTAGACAGTCTAAGAGCTGGGACATGAAGACACACTAAGAGCTGGGACATGAAGACAGACTAAGAGCTGGGACATGAAGACAGACTAAGAGCTGGGACATGAAGACAGACTAAGAGCTGGGACATGTAGACAGACTAAGAGCTGGGACATGAAGACAGTCTAAGAGCTGGGACATGAAGACAGTCTAAGAGCTGGGACATGAAGACACACTAAGAGCTGGGACATGAAGACACACTAAGAGCTGGGACATGAAGACACACTAAGAGCTGGGACATGAAGACACACTAAGAGCTTGGACATAAAGACACACTAAGAGCTGGGACATGAAGACAGTCTAAGAGCTGGGACACGAAGACACACTAAGAGCTGGGACATGAAGACACCACTAAGAGCTGGGACATAAAGACAGACTAAGAGCTGGGACATAAAGACAGACTAAGAGCTGGGACATAAAGACAGACTAAGAGCTGGGACATAAAGACACACTAAGAGCTGGGACATGAAGACAGTCTAAGAGCTGGGACATGAAGACACACTAAGAGCTGGGACATGAAGGCACACTAAGAGCTGGGACATAAAGACAGTCTAAGAGCTGGGACATGAAGACACACTAAGAGCTGGGACATGAAGACACACTAAGAGCTGGGACATGAAGACACACTAAGAGCTGGGACATAAAGACAGTCTAAGAGCTGGGACATGAAGACACACTAAGAGCTGGGACATGAAGACACACTAAGAGCTGGGACATAAAGACAGTCTAAGAGCTGGGACATGAAGACACACTAAGAGCTGGGACATGAAGACAGACTAAGAGCTGGGACATAAAGACAGACTAAGAGCTGGGACATAAAGACAGACTAAGAGCTGGGACATAAAGACAGACTAAGAGCTGGGACATAGAGACACACTAAGAGCTGGGACATGAAGACAGTCTACGAGCTGGGACATGAAGACACACTAAGAGCTGGGACATGAAGATACACTAAGAGCTGGGACATGAAGACACACTAAGAGCTGGGACATGAAGATAAATTAAGAGCTGGGACATGAAGACAGTCTAAGAGCTGGGACATAAAGACACACTAAGAGCTGGGACATGAAGACAGTCTAAGAGCTGGGACATGAAGACACACTAAGAGCTGGGACATGAAGACACACTAAGAGCTGGGACATGAAGACAGACTAAGAGCTGGGACATAAAGACAGACTAAGAGCTGGGACATAAAGACAGTCTAAGAGCTGGGACATGAAGACACACTAAGAGCTGGGACATAAAGACAGACTAAGAGCTGGGACATGAAGACAGATTAAGAGCTGGGATATGAAGACACACTAAGAGCTGGGACATGACGATAAATTAAGAGCTGGGACATGAAGACAACACTCAGAGCTGGGACATAAAGACAGACTAAGAGCTGGGACATGAAGACACACTAAGAGCTGGGACATGAAGACAGTCTAAGAGCTGGGACATGAAGACACACTAAGAGCTGGGACATGAAGACAGACTAAGAGCTGGGACATAAAGACAGTCTAAGAGCTGGGACATAAAGACAGACTAAGAGCTGGGACATGAAGACACACTAAGAGCTGGGACATAAAGACAGACTAAGAGCTGGGACATGAAGACACACTAAGAGCTGGGACATGAAGACAGACTAAGAGCTGGGACATAAAGACAGACTAAGAGCTGGGACATAAAGACAGACTAAGAGCTGGGACATAAAGACAGACTAAGAGCTGGGACATGAAGACAGATTAAGAGCTGGGATATGAAGACACACTAAGAGCTGGGATATGAAGATAAATTAAGAGCTGGGACATGAAGACAGTCTAAGAGCTGGGACATGAAGATAAATTAAGAGCTGGGACATGAAGACAGTCTAAGAGCTGGGACATGAAGATAAATTAAGAGCTGGGACATGAAGACAGTCTAAGAGCTGGGATAACAAGACAGACTAAGAGCTGGGATAACAAGACAGACTAAGAGCTGGGATAACAAGACAGACTAAGAGCTGGGATAACAAGACAGACTAAGAGCTGGGATAACAAGACAGACTAAGAGCTGGGACATGAAGACAGACTAAGAGCTGGGATAACAAGACAGACTAAGAGCTGGGATAACAAGACAAACCGAAGACACTGACCAACCACTATAGGCCATCGAGGTTCGGACGCCGGCCCTGCAAGAGGAGAGGCCGTCGCTCTTGCGACCAGTCCAGTTAGATGGGTCAACAGTGCATGAGTAAATTACAATGGAAAGACTATTGGTTTTGACAAAAAAGTCTATTATAAATAGAAGAAGCCATCCGGGAGCCCCGGGACTGCTTGCTTTACCTTACCGGAAAGAGCTTGAATATCTGTAGTTTAGAGAGGGCGAAGCCAGAGTTCTTGGTGTAGGTCGGGAGCGGGAAGGCGACGTTCCTCAGGTACTGGGAGAACACTATCATCATGGCCATGGTCCTGTGGGCGGGGCGGGTGTGGTCAGGCTAGGCGCAGGCACACCAAGGGCTGGCTCTAGGGAGGGGACGGACACACGGGGGGGAGGAAGGGAGGGTCGTTCCGACAGAGGGAGCAAGGGACGGATGGAGGGAGCAAGGGACGGATGGAGGGAGCAAGGGGCGGATGGAGGGAGCAAGGGACGGATGGAGGGAGCAAGGGACGGATGGAGGGAGCAAGGGACGGATGGAGGGAGCAAGGGGCGGATGGAGGGAGCAAGGGACGGATGGAGGGAGCAAGGGACGGATGGAGGGAGCAAGGGACGGATGGAGGGAGCAAGGGACGGATGGAGGGAGCAAGGGACGGATGGAGGGAGCAAGGGACGGATGGATGGAGGCCAAAGGGCAGATCATATCAAGAAGATGACGAGACGACGACGTTTCGGTCCGTCCTGAGACCATAAGTTTATCAACTGTGACTATTCTCAAGCTAAACGAAATTTCTTTCATCCCAAACCTGTTTCCAACACTAGTACCTTTGTGCTCTGCCTTCTCTTCATATCGGAACTTCAATATCACTAATACCCTTCGTCCTCTTGACATAAAGCTCACCTTGCGACCAACTAACTCTCTTCGTAGTAATGGGGTTCACACTGTTCCTGCTGCTGCTGGTGTCTACACTATTTCCTGTTGGTGTTGTCCTCTCCGATACTTTGGTGTAACTGGCCCTACCCTTAATGACAGACTTAAGGAACACACAAGAAGTGTTAAGTCTGCAGACACAAACACTGCTCTCTTGTGTCATGTTAGGGACGCTAATCACTGTAGACTCTGTGAAGACGCCGTCTTCATAGACGTCGTCTTGTTAACTGGGCTCTGATATACAACCTATTGATTGGTGTTGTTCTACAATAATGTTTCCTGCCTCTACTCTTGACAGACGCCGTCTTGTTGACTGTGGCTCTCATACACAACCTTCCCAACATGAACCTTAGTCCTGGCTTTGTTGCTCTTGACTCTTCCCTTTCACAGTACACACTCAATTGTTCCAACCTCCTTAACAAACGTGACCTAACATAAGCCTACCCATCCTTTTTCACATTCTTTTTCTTCTTATTCTTACGTTCCCATTCTTCCTTTATCCCATTGCTACACCCATCTTATCCGTACCTTTGTTCGTGTTCTTACCTTTCACCTTGCTCTTTTTTACCTTCTACTAGAAATTACCTCCTCTTACCTGCTCCTCACCTCATTTTTGCCTTACTTAATGCCCGTGCCTTTCCCGCTCACACACACATGCACATCTCTTGTGCCAGGTAGGTCCAATACGGGCTCACCATAGCCCGTGCTGCTTGGAATTTTTGTTCCGAGTAGCTGAATCTAAGCCAACAACATCACGCTAACATCACAGTCGACTTGCTAATGGTCCAGGACGGACCTAAACGTGGTCCTCATCTTGTGGTGTGTGGTCTGGTCATCATATCTTCACCCACGTTATAGTGACTCGTCGTCTGCTCATGTCTAAACACTAAATAAATGTGAGTCAAAGGAAAAAATAACACAAGATCTGACTATGAATAAAAGAGCCCATACTGTCATAAGTTACCAACTTACTCTAAATTTGGTTTACCAAGCTATGCTACGCTCCTTCCCCCTCCTATGAGGATACTCCCCCCCCATCCTCCCTCACCGAGAGTACCTGGTTGATGGGGTTCTGGGAGTTCTTCTACTCCCCAAGCCCGGCCCGAGGCCAGGCTCGACTTGTTACTAAAGGGAGTATATACTCCCTCCCCCCCCCCCGCCACAAGAGCAAGCACGAGCTCTCCCCCCCCCCAAGTGGGAGTGTCCAGCGATCACCTACATGAAGGAGATCCCCCAGTGGAGCGCCGCCTTCTTGGCGGCCACGTCAAAGAGGGAGAGGCCGACCAGCGTCACGGTGGGCACCACGGTCAGCGGCGTGATCCACGTCAGCAGGACGCCCATCACGCCTGCAACCACCACAATAACATCCACATTAAGGAATATCATCATGCGAGGAATTTTGACAATGTAAGCACGGCATTCTCCTAGGTGTCGCCCCTCTGCTAGTACTAGGGCAGGGGCCGCCACCACCCCTACTACTTGGACAGGGGCCACCACCACCCCTACTACTAGGGCAGGGGTCACCGCCACCCCTACTACTAGGGCAGGGGCCGCCACCACCCCTACTACTAGGGCAGGGGCCGCCACCACCCCTACTACTAGGGCAGGGGCCGCCACCACCCCTACTACTAGGGCAGGGGCCGCCACCACCCCTACTACTAGGGCAGGGGTCACCGCCACCCCTACTACTAGGGCAGGGGCCGCCACCACCCCTACTACTAGGGCAGGGGTCACCACCACCCCTACTACTACGGCAGGGGCCGCCACCACCCCTACTACTAGGGCCGGGGCCACCACCACCCCTACTACTAGGGCAGGGGCCGCCACCACCCCTACTACTAGGGCAGGGGCCGCCACCACCCCTACTACTAGGGCAGGGGTCACCGCCACCCCTACTACTAGGGCAGGGGCCACCACCACCCCTACTACTAGGGCAGGGGCCGCCACCACCCCTACTACTAGGGCAGGGGCCGCCACCACCCCTACTACTAGGGCAGGGGCCGCCACCACCCCTACTACTAGGGCAGGGGCCACCACCACCCCTACTACTAGGGCAGGGGTCACCGCCACCCCTACTACTAGGGCAGGGGCCGCCACCACCCCTACTACTACGGCAGGGGCCGCCACCACCCCTACTACTAGGGCAGGGGCCACCACCACCCCTACTACTAGGGCAGGGGCCGCCACCACCCCTACTACTAGGACAGGGGCCGCCACCACCCCTACTACTAGGGCAGGGGCCGCCACCACCCCTACTACTAGCGCAGGGGCCACCACCACCCCTACTACTAGGGCAGGGGCCACCACCCCCCCTACTACTAGGGCAGGGGCCACCACCCCCCTACTACTAGGGCAGGGGCCACCACCACCCCTACTACTAGGGCAGGGGTCACCACCACCCCTACTACTAGGGCAGGGGTCACCACCATCCCTACTACTAGGGCAGGGGTCACCACCACCCCTACTACTAGGGCAGGGGCCACCACCCCCCCCTACTACTAGGGCAGGGGCCACCACCCCCCCTACTACTAGGGCAGGGGCAACCACCACCCCTACTACTAGGGCAGGGGCCGCCACCCCTACTACTAGGGCAGGGGCCACCGCCACCCCTACTACTAGGGCAGGGGCCGCCACCACCCTTACTACTAGGGCAGGGGTCACCACCACCCCTACTACTAGGGCAGGGGTCACCACCACCCCTACTACTAGGGCAGGGGCCACCACCACCCCTACTACTAGGGCAGGGGCCACCACCACCCCTACTACTAGGGCAGGGGCCACCGCCACCCCTACTACTAGGGCAGGGGTCACCACCACCCCTACTACTAGGGCAGGGGCCACCACCACCCCTACTACTAGGGCAGGGGCCACCACCACCCCTACTACTAGGGCAGGGGCCACCACCACCCCTACTACTAGGGCAGGGGCCACCGCCACCCCTACTACTAGGGCAGGGGCCGCCACCACCCCTACTACTAGGGCAGGGGCCACCACCCCTACTACTAGGGCAGGGGCCGCCACCACCCCTACTACTAGGGCAGGGGCCGCCACCCCTAGTACTAGGGCAGGGGCCGCCACCCCTACTACTAGGGCAGGGGCCACCACCACCCCTACTACTAGGGCAGGGGCCGCCACCCCTAGTACTAGGGCAGGGGCCGCCACCCCTACTACTAGGGCAGGGGCCACCACCACCCCTACTACTAGGGCAGGGGTCTCCACCACCCCTACTACTAGGGCAGGGGTCACCACCACCCCTACTACTAGGGCAGGGGCCGCCGCCACCCCTACTACTAGGGCAGGGGCCATCACCACCCCTACTACTAGGGCAGGGGTCACCACCACCCCTACTACTAGGGCAGGGGCCACCGCCACCCCTACTACTAGGGCAGGGGTCACCACCACCCCTACTACTAGGGCAGGGGCCACCACCACCCCTAGTACTAGGGCAGGGGTCACCACCACCCCTACTACTAGGGCAGGGGCCACCACCACCCCTAGTACTAGGGCAGGGGCCACCACCACCCCTACTACTAGGGCAGGGGCCACCACCCACCCTACTACTAGGGCAGGGGCCACCACCACTCCTACTACTAGGGCAGGGGCCACCACCACCCCTACTACTAGGGCAGGGGCCGCCACCACCCCTACTACTAGGGCAGGGGTCACCACCACCCCTACTACTAGGGCAGGGGCCGCCACCACCCCTACTACTAGGGCAGGGGTCACCACCACCCCTACTACTAGGGCAGGGGTCACCACCACCCCTACTACTAGGGCAGGGGCCACCACCACCCCTACTACTAGGGCAGGGGTCACCACCACCCCTACTACTAGGGCAGGAGTCACCACCACCCCTACTACTAGGGCAGGGGCCACCACCCCTAGTACTAGGGCAGGGGCCGCCACCACCCCTACTACTAGGGCAGGGGTCACCACCACCCCTACTACTAGGGCAGGGGTCACCACCACCCCTACTACTAGGGCAGGGGTCACCACCACCCCTACTACTAGGGCAGGGGTCACCACCACCCCTACTACTAGGGCAGGGGCCGCCACCACCCCTACTACTAGGGCAGGGGCCGCCACCACCCCTACTACTAGGGCAGGGGCCACCACCACCCCTACTACTAGGGCAGGGGTCACCACCACCCCTACTACTAGGGCAGGGGCCACCACCACCCCTACTACTAGGGCAGGGGCCACCACCACCCCTACTACTAGGGCAGGGGTCACCACCACCCCTACTACTAGGGCAGGGGTCACCACCACCCCTACTACTAGGGCAGGGGCCGCCACCACCCCTACTACTAGGGCAGGGGTCACCACCACCCCTACTACTAGGGCAGGGGCCACCACCACCCCTACTACTAGGGCAGGGGCCACCACCACCCCTACTACTAGGGCAGGGGCCACCACCACCCCTACTACTAGGGCAGGGGCCACCGCCACCCCTACTACTAGGGCAGGGGCCGCCACCACCCCTACTACTAGGGCAGGGGCCACCACCACCCCTACTACTAGGGCAGGGGTCACCACCACCCCTACTACTAGGGCAGGGGCCGCCACCACCCCTACTACTAGGGCAGGGGTCACCACCACCCCTACTACTAGGGCAGGGGTCACCACCACCCCTACTACTAGGGCAGGGGCCACCGCCACCCCTACTACTAGGGCAGGGGCCGCCACCACCCCTACTACTAGGGCAGGGGCCACCACCACCCCTACTACTAGGGCAGGGGTCACCACCACCCCTACTACTAGGGCAGGGGCCGCCACCACCCCTACTACTAGGGCAGGGGTCACCACCACCCCTACTACTAGGGCAGGGGTCACCACCACCCCTACTACTAGGGCAGGGGCCACCGCCACCCCTACTACTAGGGCAGGGGCCACCACCACCCCTACTACTAGGGCAGGGGTCACCACCACCCCTACTACTAGGGCAGGGGCCGCCACCACCCCAACATTAGCACCTTATTAAATTCAATAACAAAGTTATATCTGTAAATAATAATTATCTAAGGTTATTTTAGACTATTAGACTCATTACCATAATATTTGAATGATACAAACATTTTGGAATAGGATGGTAACCTAATGATGATATAACCTTTTGTTGAATCTGTTAGAATGTGTTTTGAAAGTAGCCCGTCCTCAGGTTAGTTAGTTCACATCCGCCGCTCCGGCCGCCACTAAGACCCACGCTCGCTTGTGCTCTCGAGTCTCAGCTGTATTACACCTCTCAACTACCCTCAGATGATGTAGATCACCACCTACAGGCAGCTAAGTACATGGAGTCCAAGCATGTCATAGCACATCGACAATAGCCTACTCAAATCAATCAATTCGAAAACAAAATTCATAACACTCTTCTGCTGTGAGTACCAGTGCCTGCTGCCGCCTCCGTGCTGCCTGACGCAAGTTTCCACTACAACACATTCCCCATACCACACTCAACCAACCATGCCTCTCAAAAGCAAGTTTGTGCAGGGGGAAAAACTACGAATCTCCAAGTGAGGCACCCATCCTAGACACTCGCCTGGCGTTCCGCGAGCGCTATGTCATGGGTTCGTATCCTGGCCGGGGAGGATTTACTGGGTGCAATTCCTTAACTGTAGCCTCTGTTTAACTCAACAGTAAAATGTGTACTTGGATGAAACAACGATTCTTCGCGGCAGGGGATCGTATTCCAGGGACCTGCCCGAAACGCTACGCGTACTAGTGGCTCTACAAGAATGTAACAACTCTTGTATATATCTCAAAAAAAACACCGACAGCCATCGTGTCTCGCCCTCTGGGGTCAGTGGTGGCGCTGCTCTACTCCATCACTGAGCCAGCTGGGAATTGTGTCCTCTCAATCAATTTGTAGAATGTCCCATATTGACTGACTTTCGCCCTCCTGGGCTGAGATATGCTGAACTCTGTAAATACTATATGAACACTAGAACACTTGATGATATATTGTACATATACCCAAGATTGACTGTGTAATACATCTGTTATACAATGTATTGTACCCATACAATATATAATACATTTGTTATACAATGCATGCACCTATAACCTGAGCTTGTAAAAGCATATTAATCACCTTCAGTGGTTAAGTGTTTAATATCACACTAGTTTCTATAGATGTTATCTTACCCTGTCAAAGTAGGAGAGACATAGGTGAATGTATATATATGTGGATATGTGTAGGTATGTGTATATATGTATATGTGTGTGTATTTGTACACAGGGTATGTAGAAACTGGTCAGAATTGTATTTCATCTTTATAAATGTACATTAATGACACTGTAAAAAGACACCTCGAACACTGTTTATGTAGGACAGACGTAAATCTAT